CCGCCGCTGCAACCGAGGCCGCCACTGACGCCGCCGCCGCTCAGGCCGCCGCTACCGCTCAGGCCTCCGCCGTCAGCACCACCGAGGCGGAAGTCCCAGAGCAGCCGTGTGCCGGCGCCTGCGCAGCGACCCCGGCCGGCGGAGCTCCTTCATGGCTGTCCTCCCCAGCTACTCGTCCTTGCGCCCCTTTTTGCCTCTCCTGTAAACACTATGAAAGCATTCGTAGGGCCTGGCGTACACTGAGCTCCTGGTGTACGAAAGAGACTAGCTTCCCGTGATTTGGTGACTTCCAGCTTTTCCCTCAGAGGAAAATACCCCCCAATTCCAGCACAGAGAAACCAAAGTACCTGTGATTAATGTCAATGGAGGCAGCACACACGCAGGTAGGCTCGAATAACCTACATATGAATTGTGGCAAAAGGCTGTGGCTGCGGATCCTCATCTCAAGATGCTTTAGCGTCCTGCTGATTTCCCAGGCACTTGAAATGAAAGCGTATTCCCCTCACGTCAGCCTGAGGCTGAGCTAAGCAAAATGCTGCACCATTCTTTCACATCCTTTCCAGCAGGATGAAGGGCACTTTTGGAGGCATTCAAAGCCCCAGTCTCTCTCCAGAGCCCATGTGGGCAGACCGCACACAGCAGGGATGTACAGTGGCATCAATCATTTACCTTCCTTTTTTTGTTCCTCTGCTCTGGCAGTGTTTTGGCAAGCAGCAGCAGTGACTGCATTGGTCATCTTTCTCCCACCCTTTGAAGGCAGGCCCTGTGCCTTTACCTGGCTGCAGCTGGACTCGTGTGACTCCTGCATGCTATGATGCGCTCTGTGGCATGGGAGCTTGTGGCTGCTGTCAGATCCAGGAGAGTGCTAACCACGGCCTGACCTGTGGTGTGCTGGTGACCATCAGGTTTACCCCAAGTAACGGGGTAAAGAATTCGCTGGTTAATCTTAGCAGTGGGAACAAAATGTCACATGAGAGAAAAAATATTTTTAATGCATCAGAAGAGCTATGTGCATGACTACCTTACCTGAACCTTTAATTTTCTAGGAAGGGGCAGCTTCCTCAGGCAGCCTGGCAGATATTAAGAGATATCAATACCCTCCAGCATCTTCCAGGCAGCATTGCATCTGAATGCAGATTTAAAAACTCTGTATAATCTTCATTATCAGCATCATCACGGCAAAGTTTACAACTTGGCCAGAAAGAAGGAAAGATGAACCTCCCATTTAATTGCTTTTTAACCTCCCTGAAATTTTTATATAGGTGGTGGTGCCTCTTGATCTCCTTTCCTTGCTTGTTTCCTCAACAAGATGCTATTAAACTATGATTACATTCTATAGCAAACATTGATAATTTGATAAATATGTAGCATTTATACATTACTGTATGGATGAGAGCTGGATGGATGGAGAAAAGAAGCAGAGAAAAAAGAGAAGAAGTAAGCATGAATGCAAATGGGTGTAAGAGGGGTTGTGTGCCTTCTGGGAAAGACTGGCACTCCATGGCAGAGCAGAATGGGCTCTTGAGATACTGGAGAGCGATGGGAAAGGAAGGCGAACTCAACTGTTGGACTTTGGCTGCACTACAGGGAGATGAATGGCTGGGGCGGGATGGTAAGCAATTTCAAAATGCTGTAATGACATCATGTATTTTGTTATATTTATGATTATTTTAATCGCATTTATATATGTTGTACCATAACATATATGCCTTGGAATTACACTGTTTTACCTTCTCTGGCAATGATACATTCATCTGTGCTTATCATCTTTCTAACAGAGAACATGCAAAATGAAGAGGGGTATTCACAGCCACAGTAAGAAAATGTTGTCTCTGAAGTTCATTCTATTTCCATCCTTTGATCTTCCATGCATCATCTTTTGTTTTTTTTTCCTCACCTACCTCCTTGTTGCTTTACATCATTCTTCTCTTCATTTTTTCTCTCCTTACAACGATTTTCATTTTCCAGTCTCTAGTTTTCACTTATATATGAAATAGATATAAAAAGTTTTCCATAATGAACCATAATTTAAAGTTAATCACCATTAGTCTTTAGCATTACTACGGAAGGAAAATAAATGAAGAGCTAATGGTGTTACAAGTTTAGGAGACATTGTTTGGAATTATTTTTCAAAGTTAGTCAGGGATCTCTTGCTTTGTTAAAGTTGGGGTATTTTTGGAAATGTAAAGCTTGAAATGCACATTTGAGAATGACACATAGCTTTTTCAGACCCTGCAGTGCAAGCCTCCTGGTTTCATGAAATATGATTAATCTGGCCATCAGTCAGGATTTTCCTCTCTTCTTTCTTCTCAATCTCTTTATGCCAATGTGTGTGTGGAGATAACCATATGGTAAGTTACTAACTCATTTGATAATGAAGTGTTATCATTATACATTTGACTTCCATTCCTGTGCACCGCCCACTAATCTATGTACACTGGTACTGTTGCAGATCTCCACGCAATTTTCAGCAGGTTCTCCAAAGCAAAAATAATTTACTTGTGAAATCAACAAAATTTACTTTTTTCCTCAGAGGAAAAAAAAATTACTATTCTTGTCCTACAGCTGCCCTGATCTTTGGTGGAAGATAGACTTCAGACACAGACATAGACAGGGGCAATAACACAGTTCTATTATGACCATGACAGAAGGAGAAGACATGCTTAATGAAAATGTCACACTGGCACAGTGGTTTAATCACGTGAATCCGCTGGTACCAAACCTGGAAGGTTTCTGTGGGCCAGATACCCTGTGGATAATACAGTGTCTGAAATTGTATCCATTTGTTCGTTTATGCTGCATGAGCAATTGATCCTGAATTATTCTCATTTTCTGTTTCTCACTCTCTAGAATTGGGCTTGAGTCACTAATAGAGCTTAATGTTACAAATGAAGGGATGGAGCAATTATCCCCCACATGTCTTGAAAATTCCTTAGCGTTTTTCAGAAAAAGGTGTCCACATATCATGGGGGAATACAGTTAATGCATAAAAACATTCAGAGATGTAAAGCCTTTTATTGGCACACGTTAAAGTTATCTTGCATGGTTATAATCATGGACCTGCTGTCTTCAGCCATGCTCAGACCTCCCCCAGACTCCTTCTAGTGTAACTTGATTTTTTTGAAAATTTCTCCCTGGCAAGGCTGTCCGCTTCTTTTTCCCAGAGGGACAGCAGCCCCTGCACCTGGTGCATGGATGAGCAGCCCAGGCCCTGCAGCCCAGATCCCGCAGCCCGGGCCCCGCAGCCCCCAAGCCAGCAAGCGGCGCTCTGCGCCCGCGGATGCAGCCGGGCGCTCCCGCCGCGGCTCCCGCCGGCGCTGCCAGCTTCCGGCTCCGCACAGAGTCTGATCAAGCGATGTCTGCTCCACTCCACAGAACAATACCGAGCCTTTATGAAATTATTTCCATGCGGTGTTGAGAACCGTGTTGCACTGCTGTCTGAAAAAAAGGGTACACATGCGCTGTTCCAAGTGACATCTCCAAATTCAGCCAAAAAAATCAGATTAGAGAAATAAAGTTGGGGGTTTTTTTCCTATTTTTTTTCAGGTTGCTGCCTTTGTACATGTAATAGCAGTCTGACTGTACCCATCTTACTGTTTACCCTGCTCCAGTGTGCAGGAATTTTGTAGAGTACCCTTTTAAAAAATTAGTGAACCTGTTAGTAATGCTCTCTCTGTTCTATAGTTCAGAAGCTACCGTAGCCCTGACAAAGCATTTGTGTCTTGCATGTTAACAATAGTTAATTGACACTATTATTTGGAGCCCAGTATGCTGTGTGCCTTTCTACACAGGCAAGGTTATGTAAAGACTGAAAACTCAGCCCTTGCCAGACCCAGTTTGATTCTCTTGTTTGTGTGGAACATTCATGCAGCGATAATAGAGAGAGGAAACATCTCAAAGGGTGGAAAAATGTCCCTGTGAAATACAATATTTGGCAAGAAGACTTAAAAATAGGTGTAGCATCTACAAATTGTTTGGCTTAAAGAGCATCTATGGAAGGGGGACAGATAACTGGTTTATACTGAGTTTATTCCACTTTTGTTGAAAAGTTCCACATGTATATGATGCTGGTTAGGGCAAATTAATGGGACAGATAACGAGTACTCCATCCTCCTTTTGAAAAGATATAAAATGATTGCGATGTTGTAATGAAATGGGCAAGGGGAAGTTTGAAAGTAAGGATATGGAAATTGCAACAGTTTGTAGGAAACCCCCTGGAAGGACAATGAAATACCAGCAGGTCTAGGACTGACTGTCACACCAACAAGGAAGAGGCCTTGATCTGTTACCGAAATATCGGATCAATAACTCTCTCAGACCAATTTGTAGATATTAGAAAGAAAGGCATTCTTTTATTAGAGTGCTGGGCGCACACGCGAATCATTTTCCAAAGGTGAGCGTGACTTTTTGGTCTCATGGTTACAGCCTTTATAGACCATTATACATTCATTATCTTTCCCTGAAAAGGCAGTGTTATTCTAATGATTTCCCAGAAATGTTTTACATAGGTTCCTTCCCACTTGCGCATGCTCTATCAAGT